GACTGGTGTGCAAATGAATGTATTTGGCAAAAACGTACTAAAGTTTTTTAACCTGAAGTTAAATTTCGATGGTAGTCTTCACCATTAACAGGGCTGTGGGCTTAACCGAACTCTTGCACAGCCTCGTGAACTTGTGTTTTGGAACCAGTCATCCCACGCGCTAGCGAGTTTACCCTTTAGGTTTTTTGGAGCTTTGGGTTATAGAAATTCTCCTTGTCTGTATTTATCGTTGACATTTCTTTTACCAGATTACTGCTTGAACGGACAAAGTTCGTTATGGCTCATTCGTTCTGGTGCCTTTGTATTCGTGTGCTAGAAAAAAGCGGTTCTCAGTTTTTACACGAAATTTCACAAAATCAATATTGCTACAGATCAATCAACCAACAGTTTATACCCGTGTTTCGTTTTCAAAAAGAAGCTGAAAGTTTAGGACGCTTGAATACAAAATGGTACGGGTGTTTGATGTCTAAAATTTGATAGAAAACCGACTTCGGAGCTCCAGTGTATTAATAAATGTCAAGTGACCTTGTTGAGGTTCAACAACAGGGACATAAACAGTAAGGAACGCTGAAACTGCACCGTTCATTAAATATGTTCATAGAACTACAGAGGTTTGCATTCATTTAAAAGTGAGCAACATGATTCTACGGGATTAAGACATATACCTGTTTTTGTCTCACTGTATCATTTAAAACTGCTAATTTGCCTTCAGGCTGGGCACCTTGAAACACGCAAATTCATCCTGTTCTATTATTCGATCAGTCACCCCACCCCAAGTTAATGAATATTTCCGATTCATATCACCGTCTTGCACGTTGCCAGTTGGGGTCATTTTCCAGCGAGACACTTACTTGAAACATTTCGATCTTAGCAATGTTGTGGAATGTCGGTAGCTCGAGTGCGCTGTTTGGTTGTTGGTCTGTTCGCCGAGCTTGGCAGTTGGATTGCAAACGTTTCATCACCAATCGAGGTGACATTGTCAGGGCACTCAACCCTGCACTGATGATGTCACCTCGATTGGTGATGAAACGTTTGCAATCCAACTGCCAAGCTCGGCGAACAGACCAACAACCAAACAGCGCACTCGAGCTACCGACATTCCACAACATTGCTAAGATCGAAATGTTTCAAGTAAGTGTCTCGCTGGAAAATGACCCCAACTGGCAACGTGCAAGACGGTGATATGAATCGGAAATATTCATTAACTTGGGGTGGGGTGACTGATCGAATAATAGAACAGGATGAATTTGCGTGTTTCAAGGTGCCCAGCCTGAAGGCAAATTAGCAGTTTTTAAATGATACAGTGAGACAAAAACAGGTATATGTCTTAATCCCGTAGAATCATGTTGCTCACTTTTAAATGAATGCAAACCTCTGTAGTTCTATGAACATATTTAATGAACGGTGCAGTTTCAGCGTTCCTTACTGTTTATGTCCCTGTTGTTGAACCTCAACAAGGTCACTTGACATTTATTAATACACTGGAGCTCCGAAGTCGGTTTTCTATCAAATTTTAGACATCAAACACCCGTACCATTTTGTATTCAAGCGTCCTAAACTTTCAGCTTCTTTTTGAAAACGAAACACGGGTATAAACTGTTGGTTGATTGATCTGTAGCAATATTGATTTTGTGAAATTTCGTGTAAAAACTGAGAACCGCTTTTTTCTAGCACACGAATACAAAGGCACCAGAACGAATGAGCCATAACGAACTTTGTCCGTTCAAGCAGTAATCTGGTAAAAGAAATGTCAACGATAAATACAGATAAGGAGAATTTCTATAACCCAAAGCTCCAAAAAACCTAAAGGGTAAACTCGCTAGCGCGTGGGATGACTGGTTCCAAAACACAAGTTCACGAGGCTGTGCAAGAGTTCGGTTAAGCCCACAGCCCTGTTAATGGTGAAGACTACCATCGAAATTTAACTTCAGGTTAAAAAACTTTAGTACGTTTTTGCCAAATACATTCATTTGCACACCAGTCGTCTTGGTGTCGACGGACGCTCAACTCCCTACCGGCTGAATCTCACGCCAGGTTTGCGCATATAAATCGAAACATCAGATGCGCGCACTTCGATGCGGTGCAGGCTTTGTAAACTGAAACCACGAGCTGTGTGTGGTCCCAAATGAAGTAGAAAATTAACGCAAACAACCACCCAAATCCGACCAGTCCAAAGTGTACCGATGATGCGGTACAATCTAAATCCCCGTCTCATCTTTGTGTTGGAGTTCCCTCCCAAAGGGTTGAGACCATTTATTCTTGTCCAAGAGAACAAAGTGATCCTAATAAATCACTCATTAGAACACATACCGTCAAAAAATTTATGAACAATGTGTTGTGGAAATTGTTGTGATTCCAACCGTGCACAATCCCGTGGAATCGCGGGAATACGGGAACGTCTACAATGAGTAGTAATACCAAGTCTGATGCGAGATGGCTCAAGTTGTTATAGCGTAAATTTACTGACCGGAAGGCCCGTGGTTCGAAACCGACCTCTGCCTCGCGACTTCGCCTGTCTAGGCTTGGGCAACCTGGCAGTATCCCAGCCCTGGTGCTTCTTTCGGGTAGCATGGCAGCTAGGCACCGAAAGGGTGTTACACCTAAACGAGCCCTAAACTTCTTGGCTTGACGCCAGTACACTGACCACTCTATCTGAGTTCAAGTGTAAAGTGAATTCCCGTAAACGCCCAAGCGCCAGCTGAAGTTAGGGCGTGGCACTGGTGAACCATAAAATACACGAGAGGGATGGTTGCACGGTGAGCTAGCATTTGTCCAGTTTCTATGTGCATAGGAGTTGGCCATTTTGCAATGGAGGCAATACATCATTTAAATGAAGAGAACTGGTACAGCGGTCATATTATTAAGGCTTTGTGGAAATGACTTGCTGAGTGTAGCACACGTGAAAGAAACAGCAAGTCAAAACTAAACACTGTATCAAACTTTCGTCAAACTTTTGCAGCGCTAGTGATTCCAAGCAGGGATGAAACAGCTGTGCGCTGCTCTTTGGGGTTTTGGCATAGATTGGAATGGAATGTCAAATGAAACTCCCCGAAACTTATACTACCAAAAACATATAAGTAGTTCAGAGGAAGAGCTAAATTTATTTGATGAGTGAAACTTCCATGTGAGAGGAGCCAGTGAATTCTGCGTGACCATGTGATGTGGTTTCTGTTGTTGAAGGATGAGTGGCAAGCAGCAGATTAGCCGCTGGTGGTTCAACGATATTACTTGTTCAAACTGTTAGCGGGCAGGTCGTCATTTCGAGGCTCCCTTGGACAGTTTCCAATGAGGATTAAACGAATACTGCTCATTGGATTTCAGTCAGTACCTCAAAAAATTCAGAAGGGTTACCAATCCCAGCTCTTTTGAGCTCTAAGAAGACCATCACGAGACCAATCTTTTTTGGGCACCGACCTTCTTACCACTGACCAATCAGAGTGTAAACAGGGTGCATCTGGCTGGCCAACATTGAATCGTTTTGGTGGAGCAATTACAAAGAGTGTGGATCCAACAGTCTACAAATGAGTTTAATCACTAGAATAGCGCTTCTTGTTTGAACAAACAAAACCCTTCCCGCTAATCGATTAAAGCATGCATTTTCTCGTCCTGACCATACGCTTACTAGGTCAACTGGGAATCCCCACCTCACGCAGTCTGCATGATTCCCTTTCACAAGCCACAGTTCGCTCCCACGACAACAAAACTTCCACATCAAATACTGCATTGCACAAGACCAATCGGAAGCTGCCGCTCGTATTTGGTTCCAGTCTGTTCCGGACAACCTCGAAGGAACGCCGGCCAGATCCAGGAGGTACCCTCAGGCAACATTCTTTTCGACAATCCTGTCGGTCACAGGATCGTAAACTGAAAGCAGACAAATTTTCACTGAATCGCAGCGGATAAGCATCGCCCAATCTGCGTGTATTATACAGTTTTCTTACCTCAAATCTACCCTTTGCAATAGCACGTTTTATCATACATATTGTTTTCGTGTTTTAATACACCCGATTTCGCAAGGTTACAAGCCCGAGAACTGGACAGCCCTCTGCAGTGCTATTAGCGGATCAATTAAGACGGAATCTCATTAAATTTATCACACCTCGACTATACCGCGCTATACTCAATCGAAAAACGCTAATTTTTAAACCGTCATTCATTCTCCAGCTTGGAAGATACTATTTCAAAAGTGATTGATACTAATCACAAGAAGCCAAGGTCGATCTTTTCGTTCATATTTAAAGTAGTCCAAGGAATCAGTTAACCGTGGGAGCCATGCGCACCAGTGGCTGACACGCTGTGCAACTGAAGATAACGCTACATACAAGTTACGATTCCGTAGGTGATTGGCTGTTTACTGCCACGTGAGTAGATCCGATTGAGTTGACTGCTCAAATCGTTTGATTTGCCTAATTCCTTTATTTTTGGAGAATAAGTTCTGCCACGTAGTAAGGTGATTGAAACAGTTCTCTAAGTGCGTCTTAGACTGCTTTATAGTCAACAGACACTGATGTCAGCAGTATGCGCGCCCACAGCATAGCAACTGGTGACCAAAAGCCTTCTTATCAAAGGCCATATCAACTTTATACACGTGTGGCTGTCAGTACCCGAGTCTCTCAACTTTCCATCACCGAAACTACAGGAGCTCGAAGAACTGTACTTTGACACACTGTTTATAGCCAACTAACTAATCGAGTGACCGAGAGGTGTGATCGAGTACGAAGCTTCACGTAAACACAATCGAAAACAAGTAAATAGGCATCTACTTTTACGGATTACCAGACGATGATACCCCGTCTGTTCACTGTATAGAAGTGGGTGGGTCGTAGATAGTTCAAAAGCTAGCTTACCACAGATCTTTCCTGATTTGAAAGATCGCCGACCTGCGCGAAACGAACATTGGCTTGGCTTATTCGGTGTTCAGTCATACACTTTTTGGTTAGTCTGATAATGAAGGCCAAGTGTACTGACAAGGTTCGTCTTCATGCGACCACCAGTAACTTACCAACTGCTGATCGCGGGCTTCCCCGAGTATCTCTCATATCAAGTGACGGCTGTTCCAACCTACCTCAGTACCTTTCACCGCGACTTCATTTTTCTGCTATGCTCTATGTCGAACTCGACCGGAGCTCGACCGGCAGCAACAAACGATGGTGTCAGTCTATAAAACTGCCAACTCAAGACTGAATGAAGATTACTGCGGTCGCTCAAAGAAAGCAAGAAGTTCTACTCTCCTCGGTATATTCTGGGTCGGATGACACAGAGGCTGAGGGCAGATTTTTTACGTGCGCCTTCATTCAGTACGTTGCATCACAATAACTTTATTAAAACATTCTTGGAAAAAAATAGTAATAGGTCAAATTTGTTCGGTTATTTGCACCAAGGGCTGTTGACTGTCCTTTACAGATCTGGCTGAAAGCACTTGAAGTTTTCAGGAAGGAATTAAAATGATACATTTAAGTTGATCAATGAGTTCTGCTGCAGTACAATCCATAAGTCCGCCCCTTGGAAACGTGAGATTTTCTGACTCGTGCTGCTTACAAGGTTTTGCAGTTTCTGCTATTGCAACGGAAGAAGTTGACCGTTTGTTGTCGCGTCCTGACTGCACGTGAAGGCCACCGGTACAGTTCGCTCGTTTGACTGGCTTGGGGTGCGCTCACCGCTAAATAGGCATTCCGCCTGCTAAATCTCAACCGGCCGGTCCCTCTCTCTCCTTCCTAAGACGAGTAGCAAATGAACCATGAGCCCTTGATCGCCTGGATGAGCTATGTGCAGTCATGACTGAGGAACAGGCAGAACATACTCACAATCGGTAGAGCATCGACTTTTGTCGTTTCTCATGTAATGATTTGTGTGCCCAACTCAAGTGTGTATGAGACCACATTCCTGTGAAAATGTCATGTGTGGTTTAGGTGATTGGAGAGGTGCGAAAACTCCCAGGATTTTGAAGATGTGATGGTCTAACTAAAAGCCAGATTCGAAGTCATTACTGCCGCATGGCAGTCGTACGTGACCTATCGCTTCCAAGGGGCAAGATGTACCAAGTGGTTAGAGCGCAAATTTACTGACCGGAGGGTCTGTGGTTCGAACCCAACATCCGCCTCTCGGCTTCCCCTGTCTAGGCTTGGGCAGCCTGGCATTATCCCAGCCCTCGTATCTCCTTCGTGTGGTATGGCAGTTAGGCACCGAAAGGGTGCTACAGCTGAATGATTTCTATCACTTCCGCGCAAGCGTGTGCATACCACACTGTGTATATTTTTTACACCGGACCTTGGAACCAAGTTGCCATGTTTAAGTGTTGTCTTTATACAACATATCAGTTTGGACCAGTCTGGCAGAGAAGGCCGTCAGATCTGTTGACGCATGAGGGCTTCATGTGAAGAGTCACTGATCCAGCAGCGCAACTCTGTGTCTACATGTTTGAAATTCGCACTTTGTCAGCGTTAGCCCGCTGATCGTCAGCTACGCAGTGGAGAGGGATCGCTGAGTCATCTCCGCGTTTCCTTTGGCTGCCCGACACCGCTGTTTATGTTCTTTGAGTCGAACGACTAATTGTCTGGCTTGCCCAGTCAACATCGATTCACTCACTCTTGTAAACAGAAGAAAAAATAGTCATGCACACTTTCGGTCCCTGGCTGAAATGTCACCCGAAGGAAGCAAGGGGTCTTAGATACTGCCAGGTTGCTTATGCCTAGAAAAGTGCAGTCAATGTGCTGAGTTGGGTTCGAAACACGGACCTTTCGTTCAGTGAGTTCGCGCCCTAACCACTGAGCTATCTCGAGCCCAATCTTATAGATACAGTCATCGATACAGTCAACCGATCTGTTGTGTGAACCAGTTATCTCCGTGATGTGTTGTTCATTTGGAAAGCGATTTGTCCGCTGAAGCATCGTGTCATTTGGTTCAAAGCTCAAACGGGATGCTGTATCTGTGTTGGGTAGCGGAAGAGCAGGTCATCATTGTTGGTTTGATACGCAAAGGATTCAACAAGGTCACCAAAGTAGCGAGGCACACATACGCATCCCAAACGAATAAGATAACTCACTGGGAGCCAGCTTGACTTCAGTAGTCGAGAGGGTCTCGAATTTACCACCTATTAGCACAGGCAAGTTGTTACTTCACTGCAGTGCGATACAAAACCCCCGAAATATCGTAAGACCGGATGCGGCAGATGTAAGTCTCGTCTTTAACCTTTGTGAAACTGGGATATAGAAGTGAACTGGCGCCCTGGCTAGAGTTCGTCATCTATGGCAATTCGTAGAAGGCCATTGAAGGAGTGTTTGTCGCATTCGTTGGTCCTTATTCAGGCTGGCGGGAAGCAACATTAGAAGTCTGTGTAACTGTGAGCGTCTTTAGACTTCTACTCCACACCGTTCTCTTACTTCCAGATGTTTTCCACCAGGCATCTGAAAATCTTGCAGAAGTGCGCATCAATGAAGACAATGAACCGTCATTCGAGGAACATTCTTTTGCCAAATAAACTAGTCGTGAAATTTGGTTGTGACAAGATTCACGCCAAACCGTCCAGAGTCAAAAGTACATCACGCTTATTCCACCGGGTGCGTGCGATATTCCGGATGCATCAGCGACTAAAGACAAAAAAGCTTTCAATTTAACAAATTTGAAAATCAGATTTCTCTGGCATACAAAACTGAGTTCGCACAGGCGTCACATATACGCCCCTTGAGGGCTGAGGGCTTAAATCCCAGTGGTTCCTCATATAGGTCGGTCAATGTATCGCGAACCGTAGGTTTTCAATGATTCTACGCAAACTGAATCATGTCTTACGTCTCAGACTCGGAAATTATCGGCGTCGCTTTAGAGGCGTCACAAACTAGGTTAACATCCTTAAAATTACGCGAATTTCATCGCCCGATTCAACTCTGTGCCCGCGTAAACCGATGTATTTGGCGCGCTCATAAGAACCTCACCAGTCATACAGTGCCCAAGGAACGATGACATTGGGCAAACTTGACTTTAGTCCATGGGCCTTTTCATGGTGCCACGATGGTGTCAATGTACGTCTCAGCCGCTCCTAATCAGACAGGACCGAAAAGCAGCTTCGTCCACTCCGAGTCAAATGCCATTTTGATGCCAATTGACGCATTTCTTACAAGGTGGAACCCTGCTCGTTCTCCCCAGCGCTACAACTTCCTACATGGAGATAACAGGCCAGGGATTTAGAAGATAAAATTTTGACGTGATACGTATCAGGCTGGCTTTTCGACGATAACTGCAGCCATAGGTTGTATCCTTTTCAAAAACTGGAACGATAAGGCTGAGGCCAAAAGCCGCCATGTGGTGTACAATATGGAATGTTTAAAGACGAAACACAGCGTAATGGAATAAGATCTTATGACCACAAGTTTCCGTTATCCTGGGCAACCATTCTCAAGGTTTTTTGTTTTGTTTCCGTCGTCCTGCTTTCTGATAGGTGTGTTCTTGAGGTCGACTGGCACTCAGATGTGACTACCCTGTGTGATTGTGTTAATTCTGTGTGCGGCTACGCGTGACCCCGTTTGTTGCTGTTTTGTGAGTGATGCGTTGTTGACAGGATTTCTGCTTGAAACGTGGCCACCACGTCTGCGGAGTTGCGCTGTAAATACAAGCCAGATGCCGGTTGCGTCACTACGGTTGACGTACTTCCCACGCGCGACGTGAATTCTGACTGGAGTATACGCGACCCTTTCACGATTTTACGCAAACTTTCCAACCTCGTTCCAGTCCTCATGTGACCTAAATTCTCAAACTGACGTGTTTCCCTAAACGTGCTGTTACGACGTATGTTGTACGTCTGTTGTATTCCCGCTACGCCTCCATTGTTACGTATAGCTCGTGAGAAGTGCTCGATTAAAAAGCCCCTAGCACAGTTTCTCCTTTCACTTTGCGCTGGAATGCCCCTACAGCTTGTATTAACGAAGGTGATGGCGTGGCTGACAGGCCCCCTGTAATTTCATCGGTTGATTGTGACAAAACGGAGGATATCAATGTTGAAAAGTCGTGAACTGGTATGCTGATGTAAAGAGATGTTATGCCACTTTATCGTGATTGATATGTTTAGACCAGAGAGAATTAACCAATTCGTAGGGGTCGTTCTCTTGAATTACCGCCTTCAAGGAATTGGGTGGACTGTGAACCTTATAAGTAGTATAGTCCACGACGGAACGTATAACAATGCCTGTTTCGTGTATTTTGCTAACGCAAAGCGTCTTACACGATTAAGGAGTCTTAATACAAATGAATATTGTGGTGTCTGTCTGAGTTTGGGTTGTATTTTATTGCCGTTCGTGCACGTGTTGACTGGAATTTTGATCTTGTTCACAGTTCAACATTCTTTCTACGGTTCCATGTTCTCGGAATGTTGGATGTTTGAGTACTTTGTTTTCGTAAACCTTTCAATTCATCACAACCCAGTTACATTGACCTTGTCCGCTTCAGTGACATGAATCGACTGATCTGTCCACAATGAATTCACTATATTTTTCTCCTCACCCGACAAGTTGCCTCGGTTTGAGAATACTGCAGACGCACAGACCGCCATTTTGTGTTGGTTTTGTTTGTTGGTTACTATTTCGCATGATAATTTCAAATCAGTTAAGTGAGTTTTCCAAATTTCCTCCAACTAGACACTGGCTCCACTTTGATTTCGTGTTGAATCCTAGTCTAATTTGAGACGTGTTTCGCAGCCGGTAGTTGAAGCTATTGCGACAGGCAAACTGTCTCAATGGTTTCTGAGGTTCCTAACTGTGGCAGGGGATGATCTACTGTTTACTCTTGTGGTATTTGATGATTCTGTCTGTTAGAATCGGACGGTCTTTAGGAAGTCCACTAAAACGCACCGCCGTTTTTTGAGCCCGCTTGATCAACACAAAGTCACAGGGAGATGGGGAATTTTAAACGCATTCTCGCCATAGAGCGCTACCTGCAGTATAGTCATTCTGCTGTAACGGCTAAGAGAACTTTAATGTAGATTTTGGCCAAAAAAGCCCAACCTCAGCGGAGCATCGGTGATTTGGAATTGGATAACACCGGATCCTATTAAGGTCTTTAAGCAGTCTATTGAAGCGCGCCTCGGTTTTCGAGCCCAATTGGGCAACACTGCTATTGAGATCGGGAATTTAGGACACTGCTTGTCCAAAGTGAGCTGGTTAGATGACGCTTGGTATTGGGTGACAGGTTGGTATGTACTTGACCGGAAACTGGTTTCAGGGAGATATAGACGATCGCTGTACGTGGTTTTAACAGTGACCACGGACCACTTTCTTCTGAATCAAAGCTGCCAACCCGATTACACCTATTTCTAGCCATTAGCCGAATTTCACTATACTTTGTTTTCCTTACAGGCACGTGCAATCGTTCATTGATTTTGTCTTTCCCCGTGTCAGTCGGTTGTGGCATATTCAGTCACTACAAACCGTTCATGATTGCTTCCTAATTTTGATAACTTATTTCCGCCTTTCATTCGTACAGCGTCTTCAATCAGGGATTGATCAGGGAGGTTGAATTTACCCATTTTATATAATGGGATTCCGATGGCGTATTGGTCAGCACAGTGAGTTCTGGATGATTGAAGTTTATAGACTGTTTTGGAATTGACTTCTGGAGGATGCAGCCCAATCTCTGTGCTAGTGTCTTGGAGTTGTTAGTGACCTGGATGTAACGTAATTTGGTTGATTATCAGGAGGTGACAAGCACTAAAAATGTCTGTTTTAACGGAATGATGATGATGATGATTACAGAATCTATGTGCACTGGAATAACCCGAAAATTGACTTATCGTTTCAGGAAAACTGTTGAGAGTTCCTGAGTGAAGTTCCAAACGCGGGATGTGTCTTCTCTGCAGTGTAGCAGCTGCCCGTGTTCCGTAGTTGTCTGTGTAGACTTGTGGGTCTCGGTTGATTTCCTGACCCCAGCACGCGTGCATGCCTATTCGTTGTGTGCAGTGTGCAGAGAGGGTTGTCCCTTCATGGTTGGTGCTTGCACGAACATGAATACAACTTGACCTGATGCGATTGAAGTTCGCAAGCCTCGCGCGCGACGCAGGTGGTAGCCGCGTAAACAAAATTTGATGGGAAATTGCAGTGTACATGTTGTCGGCTAAGGTTGCAAGTGGAACAGGAATTGTTACGTGATCTGAGTGTTTGCGACGCGGGGTCTAGTGAGTGACCGCCACAAATTCATGCGTCGGATCCATAAAACACAAATATCATGTATTTATTTGTGTGCCCTGTTGATCAACTTGAATTTGCAAACTTTGAAACGAAGCACGATGAACCAAGATAGCGATTTCGGATGACTATGAGTTCAGTGGATGAAACAGTCGTACTAGATCGGCTCCACACCCAAATACAAAATATCTGCACACTGTCGACCTGACTGGATTTTCCGACGCCTCTAGCGATAGCCCAGCAACCGTCCTGGTTGTGTCGAATGGGGCCTGGCTAATCCCCCCTGTCAGATAGCACGAGGGAAGACTGGAATCTGTGGTACATTGTTTGACTGGGATAAGTTACTACTTACTTACTTACTTACTTACTTACTTACTTACTTACTTACTTACTTACTTACTTACTTACTTACTTACTTACTTACTTACTTACTTACTTACTTACTTACTTACTTACTTACTTACTTACTTACTTACTTACTTACTTACTTACTTACTTACTTACTTACTTACTTACTTACTTACTTACTTACTTACTTACTTACTTACTTACTTACTTACTTACTTACTTACTTACTTACTTACTTACTTACTTACTTACTTACTTACTTACTTACTTACTTACTTACTTACTTACTTACTTACTTACTTACTTACTTACTTACTTACTTACTTACTTACTTACTTACTTACTTACTTACTTACTTACTTACTTACTTACTTACTTACTTACTTACTTACTTACTTACTTACTTACTTACTTTAGTCGAATAACAAATGAATTAATTGAACCGTACGAATGGAACAGAAGTCCGGTCACAAAACTCTTCTTCTTTTGGATGTTCCAGGTCTGAACATAAATAAATTGGAACGCGCATCTGCCTCTGACTCAAATTTATGTAATCCGACCTAAGTACACTGTTTGATTCAGTAGTGCCCAGTGGTCCGTATATGTACTGCGGTTCGATGAAAGGTTTAGACAATCCGGGCTGTTCAACCCTTTCGTGAATTTCACACAGTGATGCTGGTTTTCAAAGCTTTGAAAATAATTCACTGAAAATCCAGTTTAGATGCAAGTTGCTAGAATTCGTGCCCACTTTACTCTCGTTTGATCAGTCGTATTCTTGTCCTGGCGCGAATATTCTGCTGAGTCCACACCAAAGAGGAGGGGAAGCACTAGACTCCGCTCCAGTTTGAGCTCATCAGCAGTTCATATAATTGGCCATGCCTGGGTTTGAATCCCGGGCATCTAACCTGCGAGGCGAGAGTGTTCTTCATGTACCGGCGGATGCTACTGATGAGACGTCGAGTAATATGTGGTCTTCCCGTAACTCAGCCTCGGGTCTAATGAAAGTTGGAGAACGGACTTGCAGCATTCGTTTGCAATCACCTGATAGTCGACGAATATCCACGAAAGTTCAAGAAGACGAATGAGGATGTTCAGATTTTAAAAAATAAGGTGCATATGAGGTGTTCTCTTTCCTGTTCAATAGTTTGTTACTCTTTAGTTGGTGTTTGCTAGTAAGCAGCTCCACAACAGAGGGATCTCCTTCTTACACCGGTACACCACTAGCGCACGGTGGATGTATCTTCATTTTCAAGTCTGAAATGGCAAACATGTTCACTCTGGAGTGATGTGATTAATAGGTCCGACGCCTCGAAAGATCACCGAGGCAGGTGGCGTCACCGACGCTCGAATCCCGCTGGACAGTTTTCCATTAGTTGTACGCCATAACGGAGTTGTTATAATCAACTGTGACCCTTGAGTCCAGTGCTTCCCCTCCTCTTAGGGGTGGACTCATCAGAGTAATTGCCCTAAGGCAGGAGGATGACTGTTCCAACGCGAACGATTTGAGCAAGATGATCGAGTTTGTTTTCAACAATCACGGGAAGCGCAGATGAATCACTCGTCAAATGGGCCACTCGTGAGAACTAAGTTCATACGAAAATGAGTGAAGTTGTCGAACGTCGTGAGGTTGACGGAACATCGGAGACTGGACATACTTAATGAGCTCCAAGAATGGAGGAGCAGGTTGTGGGCTGAAGTTCTCAGGAATCTTGTGAGCAATAAATAAGTTGCTGGTCATGTACCTAGTTTGAGCCTAAAATACTTGTCGATTAGGATAATCACGTGGTGGATGGTTTTCCCAGAGACATTGAAGAACAAATTCGGATGACTGGAGATCTGGCACAGTACGGTCGTGAATATTCAACATTGAAGACGACCATTTCCAGTGAAATATAGGTCGCAACATAGGGTTTTGTCTCGGGCTATTGACAAATATTGTTTTCTCTTGACCAATTCTTTAAAATCACAAAAATCTCTGGCTCGATGAACACCCCGAAACCAATGGCATCTCCGTCCTCAAGGGAGATAGCAAACTGCATGTGATTTCTGACGGAGCACCAGTATTCTTGATCATTCACAAAGTGTCCTGCTGAGCATGTGTAAGTGCAGATTTTGATTGGTCTACTACAACGAAGAAGATAAACTGATCAGATGCGAGCAGATACATATCAAGAATCAAGAAAAAATGCAATCTTTGATTTTCACATCAGCATGCAGACTAAACTGGTGATGACGTTATCGGAAGTATCCACGAGGAGAAGGATACGAATAATTTTATGTGGTTTATTGATTGTTAGCACTATTCTTTGGATATTTCTTTGGGGAGCATATAAAACAAATCTGAGGTTCGTCCAGGTCATTCACCCAGAGCTCCAATCGGGACAAATTGAGAACGCGACCGATTGTGCGCAACTGACACAAGCAGTTGCTGGTGAATATTTTCGGACGTCCGAAGAGGAACGATCATTTCCTATCGCTTTCGCCTTATCGACCTACTCATCTTTTGAACGATTGGCTCGGGTGTTACGACTCATCTTCCGCGAGCACAACATATATTGTATTCACGTGGACAAGAAGGCAGACATTTCGCTGAAAGAGAAAGTAAAACATTTGGCCCAATGTTACGGCCCTAGTGTCTTTGTGATACCTGATGAAATCAGCGTGGATGTCGCCCGGAGCTATTTTACCGTCCTGCAGAGCGTTTTGCTATGCGCACAACAGTTTCTTGATCAGAAAACAGTAGAATGGAAATATATGCTCAATCTTAATGAAAAAGAGCTGCCGTTGCGCACAAACTGGGAGATGGTTCGCGCACTCAAACGTGTGAACGGATCAAATATTGTAGAAGGAGTCAACGGGCCACCGGTCTGGGATCGGATACCATCGGGGAAACTTAGCTTTCAGGTCGGTTTAACCCACATTGATTTTACCAGAACAAAAGTTTGTTGACAGTGTTTTGGGAAGATTTTGGTTCTCTCAGATTTAGATTTCATCCCGTAAGTAAAGCTCACCTTCGAGGAGAGGCCGATAAGCTATGCACAGCTATTTCATTCGTTTTGTTAATTATCGGAAGTGCGCTTCTCACACATTTTGAACCCGTGACTTTTTGGCCAGCACTTAAAGGTTCGGCCACACACTGTTGAACAGCCGTGTGAGTAGCTGACGCTTAGATGGTTAAGTGACAACTTTATTGCCGGAAGGTTGTGAGGTTGTGAATCTCCATTGCAATTTCGTGGGATGTACACTGTTGGTGATCACTACGAAACAGTGGTCCAGTGCTTCTCAGTTTTTTAGCATAGGTTGGCTTCAATGACAGTAGAAAATATCCACTGATTAATATTTTATATTTCCCTAATTCTGGATTCGCTTACTCAGACTAGTTGAGTGACTCTGAAATGATCCTCTAAGTCACAAAACCTGAAATTCATTTACGAGGAGGTCCTACAGATCGATGGCCGTAGGTGGGAAAATATCGCGCTCCGAAGTTGCGCGTACCATGGTCCCCCCCCACACACACACACACAAACGTAAAACCTCTGAATGCAGGCTACAAGATTGTTTGTCCAATCTCATATAGCTGAGGGGGCCGTCTGTAACGGTCGTCTTCCTGTGACCTCATAATTGTGTCATTTCAGGGCTTTAGCCCATTACTTGAAATAAAGTTATAATTTGGACTTTAATCTTCTCCTTTAGAAGATGTACATCCTGAGACGGTCCTTTATCAAACTAAGCGTAATCCGACAAACATCGTCGATCACATTCAACTTGGTACACTTTCTTGGAATGGGTGGTGTAATTAATTAATCAGCTAATCAACTAATGAATGAAATAATCAACTAATCAACCAATTAATTAACAAATCAACTAATGGGTTAATTAATCAGCTGATCAACCGGTTGATTAATTAATCAACTACTCAACTAAATAATTAATTAATCAACTAATCAACTAATTGATTAATTAGTTAAATTATAAAATTTTGTTTCACTTCACTTTATATCAAGCAGGTAGGAAATTCATTTGGGTGCTCTGTTAGAGAAAGTGTGACAGACCACTCTGATGCTTATCCAGTTTTCTTACCAATATATGGTTCTGAAACTATCTCAGTGGGACAGTAAATGTCAAAGATGATAAATCTTGGACAACAACCTGATTACCACTGTTTCCGAGGCGTCGAAAAGTGAATCCTTATTCGCTCTTTGTTATTGCACCCTCACCATACATTAGGAACGGTTTTCTAGGCATTACAGTACACTTCAACACTACTTATACAGTTGATAAAAATTCTTTCTAAATGAAATATCAAACGACGTTCGTCCGGCAATTTCATTTGAGTTACAATGAAAGCAGAGGATAGCCTGAATCGTGATCGAATCTCCCAAGTCAATCACTTGGTATTCAAGTGCGAATCAAAAGTGACAGAGACTTATTTGAGGTGCAGAAGGGCGAATGAGCTTTCCAGAAGTCGGATGTGGTGATCACAAACCTCTGCGAAATCATACAGAGGTTGAGGAAGGCATCAATTTAGCTCGACTCAAGGTTGGGCAATTTGATTGCCTCCACATTCGAACAATCGTTTGTGTGTGTGTGTGCCTAATCCGGCAACCAAACCGAGCGATTCAAGTATGAATCTCTGATCGTTAAAAATGAAAGCTTTTGAAAGGTCGTACCAGTTTCATAAACAGCAGGTCAACATGGACGATTTCGTTCGACGTTCACACGACCACTTCTGAATTTTCTTCAAATTTGAACTAACAAATATTTCATCACCTAACCTGATGGAGTTTACGTTCGGTATTTGAATTCATTCCAGGCTTCATACGAAACTATTGTTCGCAAATAAAAAACACCGTATCGTTTTAGTCATCAATTTCCTTATAATATCTCTGATGCGAATAGGTTCCCAGATAGCTCGTAGTGTAATTTTTTTGTCTATTTGGAGTTTTCGATCTGTCACTCCAGCTGCCATTGTCAAAACTCTTCATATTGAATGGTAAATTGACCGGCTATTCCTCTTGTCTAGAAAATACTTTCCTGATGGGTGCACATATGTTTTACACAATTACAATGGTATCCAATAAGCTATTGATCTGGTATGAATGTCTATCTGCTGAACTTCTAACCCCTGATGAAAAGTCGGGTCGTTCGATTTGAATAGTGATTGATTACCTTTGGGATCATCGAAAATTATTTTCGATGGCGATTGCGAAATACTCATAACGACTAGATTTTCTCGACCGTTTCAAGCACATCTGCAAGTCCAAACGAGGCCGACAGGTCTCCTTTGGCTGAACATTTTGTGGTCTTGTCACAGTTCACCGGAACCATCCGGTTGTTAGAGACAACCAGGCATGATCGTTGGCCTTGAGCTGCACAGTTTCCTCAGTGTATAGTTGTTAACTCTGATGTATCGAGTGAGTCATATTCATGCGCTACTCAAGTCCGTTAATTCACCGACCAATTAGTCAATCCTTGTGTAAGGTTTGTTCGTACTCGAACTTCAACAGTATTCTCGTCACCGCACTTTTGTGCGATAAAGTGTACTTTGTTTTCCACGTACATGACGTCACTTTCTGTTTAGATTTGGTTCCGCTACTAGATGAATATGGTTGGCAGTAGAGCACGTCATAAGAAACCAGGTTTCAGCAGACTGATTCACAAGACTGATTCTTCTGAAATTTTGTCAGCAAGTTTTGAGGCATCAAAACAAGTTTTGTTCGATACATGCACGCTCCAAGCGACAGAATCAGCAGTTTCCTGTGGCGACAGGTTGACTCTGCACAGGATTTCTCCATCTCACTTTCAGAGATTCAAAATGTCTCTTGTTGGTGGTTTATGAGTTGTTTGTGTTTACAAAGGCGCTTTCATCTCTGAAGGACGTGGGGGCCACCTAGTCCATAAAAATAATCAGTTTAGATGCCCCATTTTCACTCAAGTGGTTCAAACAGTGCCACCGTCCGGCATTATCTGTATCTAGGGTGAAATCGTATAATAATTTTCACCACTGCAGGACCTGAATAAGGAATGTAAACCTGTTGTGATGCTCAGGAACGATACGAAACTTAAAGACGTAGCTTTAAGGACGAATCTACAACCTAGTAAGCCTGTCCGCATTTACTTATCACAAACGTCCATCGGGTACTTGATGTCGGTGCGGTGAGCATCACTTTGTCACATTATTTGAGTCCAGAATACATAGTTACATTTTCGGATATAAAGAGACAAATGGTTTGACGAAATGCCGTCCAAAGTAGATAAAAGTAACGTTTGCGGAACTCTCAGTCTGAAGTGCAGCTCTCCAAGTGCGTTTGGAAACAACTACCCCGAGTCTCAGCCACTGTGGTTGTGTGATAACCCCGCGATATTCAGTGATTTTGTTCTACTCCAACTGTGTGAAGGTCTTACACACTACAACCATCTGTGTAATGAAACGCGAAAGTTTCGGTCAATCCACACACGTTGCTCAAGATGTATCAGAATATGAGTTGCGATTTCGCAGATAGGTCAAACGTGAGTTCCTTGAGTTTCGTAATTTGCGCACTGAGGATATTCACCATTTTACGCGTTGCGAGACTTCTCTTATAAGTATTAAAAAGGTCGACGACAGTTAACAAGTTCAGATGAGCTGAATAGAGCACTGGAAATGGGTCAGGATACTTTAGCCTTAAAGTTTACGGGCGGATTATAAACCTAGCGTCTTTCAGGGTGTGTCCAGTTAGACAGTGGAAACAGTAGACTGAATCACCTGGAACCCATAGATTTATAAGCCCTGGACACAGTGGGCCACTTCTCTTATAAGTATTAAAAAGGTCGACGACAGTTAACAAGTTCAGATGAGCTGAATAGAGCACTGGAAATGGGTCAGGATACTTTGCATAGGATATATTCCAAAAGGTATTTGTAATGCACTACTCATAAGGTTGCTGAACATCTTTCGACAGATTACAACCGGTTTTGCCCTTTTTGGTGCAGTTCCCGAGTTTCCCTCAACTTTATGTTCTATTTGAAACAAAATTGCACGTAATTAGCGAAATGCACTCATTTTGGAAGGAAGATATTTTCCAATTGAGTGGTGATTGAGGACTACTCACACATTGGGTTCAGCATGACTACAGTAGGTCACCTCTAGGAGTAAACCTGAATCTGAGCTTTCCGGGCAACAGTTGAACCGACATACGTGGATGACGTAGTCATTTTATGCCCCACCGCTGAGGAACATTTCGATTAGGTGAGCATTCATTCCGATTGTACGTTTTTCCTTCATCAGTAGGAAAGTACGAGTAGAATGTCAAATCGGACGCTTTCTACTTATCGCTTCTTTCATCAAACAGCACGATTAAGAAGAATAAGGCTTCTATCTGTTCGTCTATCTCTAAAGCAGTTTTGGTGCCTAGCTGCCATGCCACCCGAAGGAAGCACGAGGGCTGGGATACTGCCAGGTTGCTCAAACCTAGACAGGCACAGGTCAGGTTCGAACCATGGACCCTCCGGTCAGTAAGTTTGCGTCCTAACCAGTTGAGACATCTCGCCCCCTGAGCTTAATAGACTGATGCGTATTCGTTATCCTGCAGCATTCCACACGCCTGTGTCGCAAAGTCTGTTCTTGAAATCAGCATCTTTCTGACTGCTTTACTGTGCCTAACTGTGACCAACCTCCCGTTACTTGTTTCTTGTCACAATTCCACGGCTACTTTATGAATCTTCCCCGTTTTACCCTTACATGAATCCCTCTACTGTTCTGCTGACGCTCGGATGTTGGGAACAAAAGTCTGACAACGGGGTAACACTGTTCTTGAGCTATTTCGAAAGGAATTAAACGACAGTCCGTATGTATGTCTGCATTCTGCAGTTCGCATTCGGCCGCCTTGTTGATCAGCTGACTAGACCCCTCTGTCGGGCGTAGTTACCACTAACACATGATTTGGTGATACACGACCAACTTCCTCTCTAATTTAGACTATTGCTTCTTGACCACTGGGCGGTCCTTCCTATCTTAGGGGTCACACAAGGGACTCACGAATGTCACTTAGACCACTGGAAGAAGTATGGCAAATCAGCCACGAATTCCAGGTTTGTAAACGTGATAGACAGCCTACTTCGCAGCGCAACCAATCCGGTAAGCGGAAGGCCGTGATCGAATACGTCCTCGGGTATGTCTTCTTGTCCATGCTAGATGTTCTCGGACAAATCCTCCCTCATGTGTGTTTAGAGTTCTTCCCCTCTTGTAAAAGTGGGATGTGGAAGTATAAGTGAACTTAATGTGTGTGATCTAGTTGTGACCTTTCGTCGAATGGAGCGCAGACTGTACCTTCAAACAAACTTTGGCGTTATTATTTTGAGCTCGCCGATGCGATTCATCGACCGAATAGCGTGGGTGAGTAGCGACTACATTCAAGAAAATGAGCAGTAGGTTTCAACTCCATCGTCAGTAAGTTGTGTGCCTTGATATCGACCGGTGTTACGTATCACAAAGTCGTTCTGCGAATGGTCCTGATTTTCAGTATTCTCAGACCCTTTCAACCTGGAAATCTCATCTTCTAGTACGTTACTGTTCATCGGCCCCCCCCACCCGATGTTTACTATTCTCAACGAGTGAACAACTTTTTGCACAACCCAATTTTGTCTCGTAGTTAAATTTGGGCGAAATTTTTCAGTATTTATGGAAAAATAGAATGAGCTTTGTTTTGTTCTTTGAGAAAATGAGGCTATCTTTAGTGCATGACAAAGGACGGGATTCCTAGAGGACTTTCAATTTCCGCTTAACGTTTTCGAAATGTAGGTGATGGGAGCTTGGTGGTTTTGTTGGGCTAACTTACCGGAATTTTTGTGTATGATGGAAAGATGGATAATCTAGCTGCGGACTGCCAGAGTTTTTCGTTCACAAAATATTTCTTGGGAATTGGTGTTAATCCAAAAGTGGAACGTGGATTCATGCAGGTTATGTCACTATTGAGGCCAGTCAAATTTTGAACATGATTAAAGGCGTCCGTACTGTAGTATCGTGGGTGGCCGTCTATGGGTTACGCCTGCACTGAGTCCACCAGACTACGCGATAGGGAGAAGAGAGATAACTGGGGACACGGCTGTATTGTCAGGACAAAACATACAGAGCTTCTGCGTAAATATGTGGGATGACTGATTGGCCAAATGTGGTCGTTCACTTGTCCGTTCCGTACACCTAATGGTGGTGTTCCGGTTGTGAACAGTCTCAGGCTCACTATGCGGGTCGTGTGTTGCTAAGCCGTGTTTGGTGAGAATCTCCAACTCACCTACTTCCCGGACGTGTTGCAGCGATGGTGATCTTGGGGATACGTCACTCTCTGCGCATGTGCTTTTTCTTCTGTCTGGGCGCTTCCTGACACGTACAGAGGAAGAATAATGCTCCAAGTGGAGCGAAACCAGTCGCGGGGTGTCGAGGAGAATTCAGCAACCTTATGAGTAGTGTATCAAGTGAAATAAACCGTTCTCAGACCTAGTTACGTCATAAACCAACTAGGCTCTTCCAAGCACCAAACCTCCCATAGAACCCTGACTTTACAAAAGGCTCATGAACTGATTCTTTCAGTTCCTAAATAGAATCCAGTTCTACGCCAGACACAGCTGAGTATTCAATCAGATCACAATGACTTGCAAACCCGGCAGTCGGGGAGAAATGAACGAACCTAGAATTGCTGGGAACTTCAGTTTTTCTGGTTGATTTGTTTCGTAGGTCCTCGGAAGACCCTCGTCAGTAGAACCATCGCAAATCACGACACCTGACTGATATCCGGAGAGGAGAAAAACTCGGAACAGTACGTTTCTAGCAAAACTTCAGTTAGCCACCCACCAGCCCCATCCGGAATGGTGGCGCTTGACAGAAACATAGCTGTTAATATAAATCCCCTTCAGCTTCAGAAGCGCCCGGTGTATATCCCTACTCAAAAGTCATCTCAATGCTTATCCGAGTCACCTTCTATCTTCTCGGTGTAAAGACGATCGTGAATTCTCCAATCATTGCCTGACTAACTTTTGTGTTCACTCAGGAGGAAGAGACTGTTCTGAAAGATACGATTCATTTCCCGTTATCTCAAGGCAGCACGCGGAACGTTGATTCGTGGGCATAAACAGGGATTGTGACCGCATAGATGCTGCATCGACACAATCTTCAAGCCACGTCAGGCATTAGAGCGGTGCCGTATGTGTTGACCTCAAGGGTGACCCTAAGGTTGAGTTCAGCTCTGTCGATAGATCAGTGCTTCTAACCATCCTTGCTCAGCCGAGCATGACTCTAGGAGTTTGCGACCATAACTCACCCTTACATTCCAAATTTGTGAGGATATAGGGGTCACCAGAAAAGCTTCCCTACGAGAGGCGGTACCCTGAAAAACGTCAAACGTTGTCATTGATGAAACAGTTTGGTGAACGCTGGTTGGTCCCTGGCCTTCGGTTTGCTGTCATGCACATCGTCTTCAACTCTGACGACAAACCCGGAGTGGAGGTACCGCTGAGTAGACTGATCATCGAGTCAAAAAGGTGAATCTTTGGGTCACAAGCATAGTTGTGTCAGGCAACACTAAAAGCTGAATTTTTGCATGAGTGCGATGCATGGAGCCTGTGGGCAAACAAAGCGAGGCGCTTTGAGGTTTTTAAACACTGAGGTCACTGGTGTTGAATGGCTTCAAGGAATTCGTAACAAGGCTAACAAAAAGCGCGAAACATCCGGAATCGTCAAACACGCCAGCTTATTAGTCTGTTTCGCATTTAAGTCATCGTTAACCGATGCGTTTTTCGTTCTCCAAGCTGCCAGGTTGGCAACGTGCAACTCAACAGAGGGGTCTGAATAATACAACGAGGAGTTTGCGGGCCGCGTATCAGGATAGCCTCCCAGTGAACCTGTCGCGCTTAGCTCTGGGCGTTCAAAGATATCACTGTATCACTCTGCCAGGTTGCAACGTGCAACTCAACAGAGGGGTCTGAATAATACAACGAGGATTTTGCGGGCCGCGTATCAGGATAGCCTCCCAGTGAACCTGTCGCGCTTAGCTCTGGGCGTTCAAAGATATCACTGTATCACTGGCGTTCACCCCGCGATTTTCTTTCCAGAATGTCTTTGGGAGCGTTTGTGGTAAGCTAGCGCCAAGTCCCTTTTCCGTCCATTTCGTTTTTTGCTTCAGAAACAACATCGATTTAGCTCTCGTACACCCTACGCTATTTCCAACGAACCGAACGACAACAGAGGCTCAGACCAGAATGGCTGAGAAGGAACTGCTGAGACATGTACTTCTCAAAACACGGCGTACCGGGAGGATCTGGCGTTTCATTACTTCAAAATGGATTCGATTGGACACTGTGCTTTACTTAATTTTCTGACTTGTTACACAAACGACACCTCGGTAAAGTCCCAAACAGTCTGTTGGACGAGCACATGGATGGCACCTCATCTCTCGCCCTGAAAGGACGAAGCCTGGTCCTCATTTGTTGCACTGGTTAGGGCCCCAGTCTTCCAGTTCGGCTTCAAGAGTTCAGGAGGTGACCGTTTGAAATAAAACGCGGTAGGTGATGATACTGGGAGGTGGCCGTTTCCCCTGACTAGCAGATTTTTCCTCCAAAAACGTGGTGTGAACTGGTTTTTCTCCCCCCGTTTTCACATCTGGCACTATATGGCGGACATTTCGTGCCAGGCCGGTGCACCAGCCTTGCAGATGGTGCTCAGTATTCGCACTGCGGAATCGAACTTTTGAAAACTATGACGTGTCCTCGATGGACTAAAGCAATCGGTCAATTGAGTTCAGAGGACCAGTCCAAACTTTTGAGCCCCATTTGGGCATTTCGGGGTCTCATGGGTTCTGAGAAATTATTCCACCAGACTTTTCCGCCAGAGGTATGATTGCTCCAGTGGACAATGAAATTTAGTGTGCTTCAAAAAATGAACGTAGATTAGGATGGTCTTTGGTTTGAGCACGTACGCAATAAAATGCAACATTTTGGTGTAAAAGGTTTCACTTTACTTGCTAAGAGCATTGTGCGACTAATGGGCGTTCTTGCAGATGATTTCGGCGCCTTGAAGGTCACTGAGGGTTGCGGTTCAGTTGCCACACTTCAACCGTTGACAGTTCGTTTTTCTCAAATGATCTGATACTGCGAAAATGATTTCTCGTGAGTGGAAAATCCGCTTGCGGCAGAATAGCCGTAAGACTTTCGTAAGTATCGCTGGCTTCCATTGGCTGTCTTTCAGTGCATTTAAACAAATTTTCCTGTGTGAAAGACACTAGAAAAGGCGTTGTTTTTCAAGTGTAGGATACAAGTTCACTTGGCTATTCTAGTGTCAATCACTGTAGAGCAATCAGTCCCCATTGTGCCACACACATATTCGACTAAAATAATTTACTCACTGTCACACTTTTTTTCACAGGTTGAATGGATAAAGGGTAGCGTGTTGGTGGCACTCCGCCGAGATTTCGTCAAGTTTATGCTTACGGATCCCAAATCTCTGGAGATTCTGAGTGTAATGGAAGCTGAAAAACACTTGGGCAAAGTCCCAGAGGAGACCTTCTTCTCTACACTGGCCTACAACCCCCAGTTGGGGGCTCCCGGAGCATGCCTACTCATTCGTCCTCCCAACGCTTCCGACCCGCGCTCCTGGTTTCTCACACGCTACGTGGACTGGGATATATACCATTGCCCCAGCAATTATATTATCCACGGCATTTGCATACTCGGCTGGAATGACTTGCCGATTCTGGTCAAACAACCTCATTTAATGGCCAATAAATTCTATCCCGATTTCCAACCAGAAGCCTACGACTTTATGGAAAATTGGTACATATACAAAGTTCTGTTGGAACAAACGCATCAACATCTGGATCCTAGTTTCGATGAAACCATCTACGCTAAACTGTACTGCTCAGAGAATCATATTTGACTGGTTGGGTCTGGTGACCGGACAGTTTGGTTATAATTTTCTATAGGTTACTTTCTCAAATTTTCATATTAATCTCTCATTTTCGAAGGTTTGTACCGCAGGTTCGCCCTGTGCCATGCCCTTCTATTTTCATCCATTATCCGTTTTCCATTTGTCGATGAGAATACATGACAACCTTTCGTCATCTCATGGTCTTCCAAATGTTTGAGTGTAGGTATTATCAGTTACCATTGTTCTCTTGTTCCGTGCACCAAGCGTATGCCAGAGCGATGCGTCACTCTAAGAGTGAAACGACAGCCTAGCGCATCTCTGTGACCGATCGATGAACGCATCTCTTTCAGAAGTAATTTGAAATATCCGCTACCTTTCGCCCGTACTGTACGGAACGCCAAGATCAATTTACTGCATCAGAGGGTACCTAGTTTGCCTAAACGCCGATGGCGGACTTCACGACGAGATGGTTGCGGATGTGTGCTGTCCCATTCAAGACACAAATTCGCTGGCTTCTACATAAGTTTTTCAGCATTTGAAATGCCTCTGGCATAAAGATGGAGAAATTTGAGCTTCCTCAGTTGCACTCCACTACTACTCCTGTGTCATCTAGTCAGTTTGAATTCGAAAAGAGGGCCACTCTCATACAAAAACCTCCAGTGGAAATCAGGAGTTACAAATTCAGATAAGCGCCAAGTCTGAAGGTAGGGATTCTAACCTATAAACAGACGCAGACACCGTATTTTGGTTCACCCAGCACACCCGACTTTGGTCTGCCACCTGTCCAAGACAAAATAGACCAATCTGAAGCGTGATTAGTCTTCATATGATGCCACACAAGCGCGGTTGATACATCAACTCTTTTATCTACAGGTTCGCAATTCAGAGAGGAAAACAATCTTGAAAAAATTGAACAGAACTGATTGGCCTCTCAGCAGTGCCCTTTTCGCAACTTGCTCTTCATTTTTTGTTGGATATCCGTATTTCTTGTGAGCATTTCAGGAACAAACCCCTCAGATGCCCCTTGTGGATGTAAAAACCGTTCGCTGAATAGCAACACTGCGAGTAGTCTATTATTTCTATTCAGGGTGTCGCAATATCTTGAATATCGTACCAGCTGAAACTTGAGACGGCCCGGTGCAGCATATTCAGTTGTTCAGAAACACCATAAACGAGAGATTTGGTTGGGTTCCAGGTGAGTCTCTCGCAAAACCAAACTTGTTTGCAATTCGCTCGCTAATTTCGTGCAATTGGGGTTCAAGCAGAAAATAAGGTTGACGTAAACTTGGAGACTGTGCCCACCTGATGAGTCCCAAGAAGAGTGAAACTGCTCGTGGGCTGGTGAAGGGTTTTTAGCAACCTTGTAAGTACGCTTGAGTCTAATTCCATTTGGACAGCGAAGCTAAACTTTAACCACTTAATTCAATGATTTACAAGAATGCAACACGAATCGATGCAATCGGTACGATAATTTCTCCCAACGAAGCGCTAGGATGCGCCAGTCCTTCTTCTCGGACACTTCGAACCATCTAGAGATCGATTTTTGTTCTACAGATGTGAGTATAGCACGTAAGTATATCTTGACGTATCTCATCGGTCGGAATACACCAAATCAGATTTGAGATGCCCGCGTTCATTTAGATCGATGGTCGTTGGTTTGTCCGCTGAACCATGCAGCGGTCATCCGCGCTGCCAACATTCAATTCCAGGGCCTACCTCTCTGGCAAACAGCATCCAAAAGTGTATGTCAAAGGGAGAAGAATGTCGCTTAAACGTTGAACAGACAGTAGAAACATCAACCGACTTATTTTTGTAATGCACTACTCATCAGGTTGCTAAAAACTCCTCGACAGTCCACGACAGATTTCGCCCTTTATGGGGCTCATCAGGTGGGCGTAGTCCCCGAGTTTCCATCAAACTTAGGTTTTACTTGAAACCAAATAGCACGAAATTAGCGAACTACACTCAGCTGCAAACTAATTTGTTTTGTCGAGAGACTCACCTGGAACCCAGTTGAATCTCTCGGTTTTCATGTTTTCAGGCAACTGAATGTGCTGCGCCAGGCCGCCTCATGTTTAAGTCGTTACGATATTCGATTGTACTACTCATAAGTTTGCTGAAAACCCCTCGACAGCCCACGACAGATTTCGCCCTTCTTGGGGCTCATCAGGTAGGCGTAGTCCCCGAGTTTCCGTCAACCTTATGTTCTACCTGGAAGCATCAAAACCAAGGGATTCAGCTGGATTCCAGGTGAGTCTCTCGAAAAACCAAATTCGTTTGCAAATGAGTGTGTTAGTGAGTCAATTTACTTCACGTAGTCTGTCCATCTCGATTTTGGGCGAAATCGCCGAAAACTCCAACCATGTGTCACATATTTGGTTAAACAGAACAATAATATTTCTTCATCGTCACCTAAAGATAGCCCAATAATCGTCTGTTATAATTTTCTGCAACTATTCCTACAACTCTATGAAACAACCGTAGATTTCCTCCTCGAAAACTCTTCGACTAACTACGAGGGATTTCACCATTCCTGTCCGGGTTCATCAGATAGGCACAACCCCCGTGTTCTCTATCCGTCAGCTTTATGCTTCTATTGAAATGAAATCTCATAGAATCCGTGAGTTGAATGCCCTCATATGCACACCGATTTGGCACTCAAAGGAGACTCAACTGAATCGCAGCCGAATCTCTCTTTTACGACTAAATTTTTTGAACCAAGATGTTTCATTTTTCAGTTGCTACGATAATTTTTTTCCGTAGTACTTTTTCTTGAATCAAACTGCTCACTAAGCTGTTGAGTAGTTTTTGACAGCCCACGATCAGTTTCTGCCTTCCTACTTCTTTCAACTTGAATTTCTAAATTTAGTTACCTCTATTTGCGTACTGATAAAACAAAAGTCTGAATCTAGGAAGATCTTCAGTCTGTGTACCATCTGGTCTACTCAACTCGCATGGACAACACAAACTAATCAAACCAGATGTGTTCTCTGGAAAGTAGAAGAGTAAATTAGTGAATCTCGGAAAAAAATATAGTCGTGGCGAGACTGATCTTGTGCAAGGAAGTGAAACATGATAACTCTTGGTGGCGTGACTCAGACAATGTGTTTTACAGCCTGCTGCATTCGCAGATCAATGTGTAGAACCGGGCCAACAAGTCGTTTCAACCAGTTCAAACAAGGTTCTGTTGCTGAGCCGTAAATATTACAAAAAAGTGAAGTGTTCCATGCTTCGAGATAGATTTGTTGACATAAAATCGATTCCCTTGTTGTAACATCCAATGAACCGATAAAGTTTTGCAGACCTGTTTGTCACATTCGCTCCTCTCTCGCTAATTGCAGTAAAACCAGGTGATTGACTGGGTGATTGACAAGGTGGTGAAATGTGGAAGAACTTTCCGATGGGACTTCGATAGTCCACAGTAATTCTCGGAGCTAAGCTTTCATAAATCTCTCGTCGGAGGCTATTGAAGAGAAGTGTGCCCACAACCGTATCAATATCTAGTCTGTCGTTTTTAGCATGGTTGCCCGAGACAATCAGGAGCTCATCAACTGACGATTTTCAGTAACTTTGATAGTTGTGACGTTTGATGTTCGTATCAAAGCAATTGGTTGCGGCTCATTCTGTTAGAATAGCAGTTACTTGGTAGTGATTGAGTACAAACGTAGCATCCGAGGGTTTTGCTGGACTGGCTTCATCTGATTGTAAAGACTTACAAAGCTTCCCAGATTCCCCCAGTTCGAGTTTGGCAAGACCGTAGTTTGCATTAGTGGGTGCAAGAAATACTGAGAGACGAGGCCTGCGGTAGTAAAAAAGCTCAGTTTCGGTCTACTTCCTGACCATCGGTCTGTGCTCACGGCATCGTTCGTATTTTAAAATCAGACCCTGAAATAATCCAACAGAAAATAAAATCGGTTTCAGTCGTCTAAAATATCTTCACACCTCTTGTATTCGGAAAACGTACTCGCCAAACAGGGACTGTTCTAGCTAATGAGGTACGGATGTGACATATGTAATAACGTAGCTCGTGGCACTCCAGTACTACCAGCGTCCTATATACCAGACTCAACGTCGACAGCATCAAGCAGAATTCCGGCCATGTAAGTCTTGTTCATATCTTCGAATTTCATCAGGAACCCGAGCAGCGCCACACATCATTCAGAACTGGAGTTCACCAACAGCTGGAGGAACTGGGATACAATTGTGGCGCGTCCTGTCTCAACATTTCTGAGTTTGAGATGATCTGTCCAAAAGCCGTTCCGCAGCTGATGTGATTCAACAAGGCTATTCCATTTTTGGGATTTTGCGGGATAGGCATTTTGTTCATAGTCACACAACTCGTGTTTGAACTGCCATCCTCCTGTTCTGGCGTAATTACTCCGGTAAGTCCACACCGAAGGGAAGAACTGGACTCGAGTTTCACTCTTATTAGATCTCATCAGCAGCGCACATCCAATGGCCATGCCGGGATTTGAACCCCGGACATCTAACATGCGAGGCGTGCGTGTCACCGATTAGTTTTTTCCCGCTGTCT